TCTCCTGCTGACAAGGAAGGAGAAGGATGCTCTTCGTTGCTCTGCCTTCTCCTTCGCGGGCGCAGCTGCGCCTTCATTCTTCCCAACGCCCTCTCCTGTTGACAAGGAAGGACAACGGCAGACACAGCTGCCGCCACGGCCGTCCACTCCATCGGAGTCAACATCACACGCCCGACCTGTCCGCCACCCTCCATCGCCAACACTTCCACGGGAATGATGTGTCTCCACTGCTGTGAAGATAGTCGCCCCCACAACACTTCACGAAGCTGCTCCCTTTGGGTCTGCGCCACTCTCCTCAGAAAACTGTGTTGAACGACCCCCGCAAAAGTGGCATGCGTCGATGGCAATGGGAGCTACCACTGTGCGCACGTGCACACAGCATTGCGTTTCTCAGGAAGGGATGCTGCCACAAAGCCCGATTCGCCCGTGCCCCGTCCGATGGTCGAACTCATCACCACAACCGCACTTCAAATTTTGAATTTCAAATATGAAGGTCCCCTATTTTTTATTTTGTTTTTCGTTACCTGGCCCTGCCTTTTCCAGCCGGGCGCGCTGGACCACGCCGTCTCCACACGCACACAAGACGCTGGCCCACGGACACTCCCCCCCGCTACCGCATATAATCGTATGAAAACTGACGCGGGCAGGCCACGAGGAAACGTCCTCGGCGGTCGTCCCCAAGGATATGTGGAACGAGGCAGCAAAATTTCCTTAAGAGCTACAAGGAAACTTCAAACTTCCTTGTAGCTCGAGGAAATCGTAAGGAGTGTCTAACGACRCCCATACTTATCCAAGTGTATGAAAAATTCGGATACTCGTATCCTCGGCTTGACTATTCGAGAAGCCCACTTGCCTGTGTGCGGCGATGACCGACGRCCAATCTCCGCAGGGGTGCGAAAAGGCCCTGCTGCATGACGTATGCCCATGCCTACTAAGGGCATAGCCACACCACTCTCGAAATGTGCAAAATGAGAACGAACTTCCTYCTACAATATGGCCAGATGCATCCGCAACAGTTTTGGTCGTTTTCACATTTGGAGAGTGGTGTGGCGAGGCRCTAACGAGGACGAAGATTGTAGGAATTGTAGGAAGAGTGAAATGATAGTGTATGTACTTGGTCGACAAAGAATTAATGGAAAGAAAATGAGCATGGGCCCTGAGCAAAGATGACACGCATAAATCGAGAAATGGTCCCAGACAAAAAAAAAAAAAAAAAAAAAAAAAAAAAACAAGGATTGGTGACGTCCCGA